TTTATGCTCCCAGATGGACATTTGTTGAGTCCGCCCCCAGAATATCATCCATTCTATTAGCCGGGGAATTAGTATGCTGACGCAAGTTTTGTGTAAATGTCAACCTGGACTCCCGCCGTTGTGTAATCCCCCCCTCCCCTTAATTGGCCGATAATTGCTGCACTTGCACTCCAATCAATGTCCAGCGGTTCAAGATGAGGCTCTTCCTCCGATGCTGTGACGGCGCCAGTTGAATGGCGAGTCCAAGGCGAGTTTTTGTTTTGCTTTTTGTTGAATCACACTCGCTGCGTTCATAATGGTCAAAATGTACTTCCATTAAATATCTCAAGTACGTCAGACTTTTATGAGGCGAGATTACATTTCTGTATTCTTCACAGTCACAACCCCAAGCAAACAAATCAGCAAACGGATGACAACAGAGATTCACCGAAGAGGGGGAGGGGGCGGGATTTCGCATCTCCGAGGTCTTCTTAGCCTTCCTCCTCAAAGCGAATCTTCCTCGCAAGGTGACACCCTGTCACCGTCACTCGTGACAGTTCCACCCACGTTCCTACCTAACCTGATTAAAGCCTCTCAGCCGCTGGTGAATATCAGCTTCAGAGCGGGTGGGGTGAGGAGGGGGTTGGGTGGGGGGGGGGGCGGTCGGGAATCCGGGGCGGCCGCAAGCAGATGGTGGGCTGATTGGAAGGATTAGTTCAAATTAGCGAGAGGGCTGTTTCCTATAAATGCGTGAGGATTCATCAAGCGCAGAGGTCGCGGGTGAAAGTCGCAGGTAATGTGGAAAAGCCGGATGCGGGTGTAGATGTGGGTCACCGGAGAGCAGATGATGCATCGGCTGAAATCATTTTTACATTTTTTTTTCCTTGTTGGTGCCACCACTGGCCACAACCGCACCTTGTAGGCTGTGAAAACACCATCTGCCTGGCCTCACTCTTTCGCGGCGGAATTTATTTGGGTGGCAGCAAACCACCCGAGACGCATTTGACGCAGCGTAAACGGAAGAATGGAACCGCCAATCAGGAAGTAGACATTTTTGACTGGTAGAGGTGCAAGGGTTCGATTCCAGCTCCGGCCTCCCTGTGTGGAGTTTGTATGTTCTTCCCGGGCCTACGTGGGTTTTCTCCGGGTATTCCAGTTTCCTCCCACATTCCAAAAATATGCACGGCAGGCTAATGGAACACTCTAAATTGTCCATAGGTGTGAGTATGAGCGCAGACGGTTGTTGGTCTGTGTGTGCCCTGCGATTGGCTGGTGACCAGTTCAGGGTGTCCCCCGCCGACTGCCCGAAGACGGCTGGGATAGGCTCCAGCACACCCCACGACCCTTGCGAGGATAAGCGGATCCGGAAATGGATAGATGGATAGTACAGTATAAGTCATTTCGCGATGGAAGCCTTCTTTGTGGATTACGTAGTGTACATGTGTACTATACTGCCACCTGGTGGCGAAGACATGCACACCATTGAAGCGTGACATCGCGGTGCATTAGCATGCTTATTTTTCCTCTCGTGCCGTTAAATATAATCAGGTCAACATTGCACAATATATGATGCACTTTAATCCCGAGCAAGCAATTTTGTATTTTTATGCGCCATAAAAAATATATAATAAAAATGCCGTTGGAAAATATCTTGACATTGTGCTCCCGTACATAACAGCACGAGATGGCTCACAGTGTTATCGCCATAATTAATGAATCAAAAAAAGTAGGAAATAAATAAAGCATGACAGTGACGACGGTCGTAGCGAGTCAGGTATATTTTATTCCTTTTGGAAGAATACGAAGACATTATTCATGAAGTCTTTTCATTGGGATCCCTGCCGAATGTAGGTGAGCTCCTCACTCTCTGTGGTGGTCTCGCCTACGGCGGGTGAATAAACTTCTCCCCGCACAAACCAAAATATACGAAAGACTGACACTTTGAGAGTGGCGGCGCCAGTAAAATCCGCAGCCCGACAGGCGCACAATGAGCTGAAACTCATTGTGAAACTCCATTAAAAGCCGGAGGAGCTGCACACCCGATGATAAGTCCAGGTTGGCTCGCCACGCTAACATGTGACAGTCATTTCAGATATAGTCGCAGTAAAAAAAACAAAAAAACCTACAAAAAAAAAACACCCCATCTCAATTATACAGTCACTGCTTCGGTGCTTAAATGTGTTTTTTTTTCCTCCTCCTCCTGAGCTTTTCTTCCTAAAAAAGTACGTTTGATTTAGTGAGCAAATACGAAGCACAGTTTTCGCAGTAACGCCGCAGTTGTGCTTGAAATGATTCATCTCCAATATATTGCGCATAGAAGTTAGCATGTGCACCTAAATTCACTTCATGCAACTCAGCTGTACTTGGACAATGATTCTTTCAATATAACTTCGGGGCTTTTTTTTAGTAGTTTCCCAATTTTGACTGTAAGGGGAGCGCTGATGCCAAAAAAAAAAAAAACCAAAAAAAAAACCAAAATAAAACTAAGTTCAAATTATGACTTTGGTCCAACACAAGTTACCGTATATTCCGCCTGATAAGGCGCGTCGGATTATAAGGCGCACCTTCAATGATAGCCTCTTTTAAAACTGTTTTCATATATAGAGCGCACCGCATTGTAAGGCGCATCGAGTAGAAGCTACAATAGTGGTTGCAGTTGCGCTGTGCATCCACTAGATGGTGGTACGCTAAAGGGAATACGTTACAATGCAAAACAGCTTGATATCGAGCATTACAAATTGAATGCTTTTGGGTGCGCCATATAGTGCGGAAAACAGCGTGGGTTTTTTTTTTTTTTGGGGGGGGGGGGGAAACATTGCTATTGTGCTTTAGCTAGTAAATGGAGAAAAAACATGGACCGACATGACACGAGCGGGCGTGATCATAATTGAAATAAATGATGCGTGCGCAAGCTCCGCCGTCGTTGATGAATGGATCTGATCAGCGGAGACCAAGGCAAATAATGTGCTTTCTGATTCCTCCAGCCTGGATGTGACACTGAAATAATGTGAACTCCATCAGCGTAATGAGGTGGACCGACCTTCTTCGAACACCCCCCCCCCCCTACAATGTCGCCTCGGTGAACGCTGGTGCGGGTTTCGTCTGCTTGTTTTTCCCCGCTCTCACCTTAGCCAGCAAATGTCCCCGTAATAAATATTTTCATACTTATGGTAGTTATTTTGTAATACCTTCAATGTGTGGTATTTCGCGTTTTCGGAGCTCATAAGAAAAAGGGGAAAAAATCACTCTTATCACCGGATAATCGGTCAAAGTAATCTATTAGACGTGTTGATCAGAAGCTAGTACTTCAACTTCATCTGAAAAGGTTGACCAGAATGGTCAGAAGGGACAGCGGTGACTACCAGCTTACCATGTTATCAGGTTACAGGGTGCACGAAAGGGTTAATATTATTTGTCTGACAAAGGCCATCCATTTTAAAGGCGTCGGATACACCCCCCACACCACAGGATAATCAGTCAGGATAATCCTTTTGGAGACATCTGAGGATCAGACCCTTTGCTGACTTCGATTGGAAGGGGATGAAGCGCAAACTCAGACCAATTAATCTGGGATGTGTGTATCCTGCGTTGTCTTGTCAATCACCGGCTCAAAACCTTGCGTTCATAATCCGAGGTGATCCGTTCAAGCTGACGTTGACCGGCTTCATCGATACGTGAATCGGGGTGAGGAAAGCAAAACCGTAAAAGGTCAGTCCCTTTTTTTCTGTCCAATTAAAGGCCACAAGCGACCCAAGTGGTTTTTGTTTTTTTTAGACCTGCTGCTTTCAACACCCGTAACAAGCGTTTCTGTCTTCCGGCTGCAAGTTTGCACTCGTCCTAACGGTAAGAGTGTGGTGGCTTAGCGGTGCCTCGTGCGTTGTGTTCTTGGCAAGCGGAGGTAACGAGTGCGCCGGCCCACTCGGCGTGCATTTGTGGAGGACCAAACAAGCTGTCAGTCTCACTGTGACTTTTTTCGGTAGCGGGGATACAAAGCGCCTTCAGGGCACACTCAGAAGTTTGTGAACATCTGACGTGTCGATTATTGATCCCTTGTGAAGTACAGCTGTGATTCGTCACAATCCCGATTGAACCGTTTGGCTTTTAATCTGGCGTTTTGTTTGTTCTATTTTAGTTTTTGTACACTGGTAGAAGTGCCATCGATTTCTTGTTTTATTTTGACTGAACTTGAAGGCTCTGTTAAAATGGCGACACATTTGTTCCATTTTCAAAATTAAATGTAGCTTCGACAACCGGAGCCTATCCTGTCATCCCCATCGTCATTTGATTCCGTCAAAAATCAGCAGACACACTTTGGTCTACCCCACGGTAATGAAATAACGGCATGCCGCTGGTAGCTCGTTTCTCAAAACACTGCGGCCTCAGACGCTAAGGCAGCCAAATTAAGCTAACGACGGCCAAGTACATGCATTTCATGTTGTTGCGCTATTTCCGTAACTCGTCCGTAACTCAGGACTCCGATACAACCTTAGAAGCGAGAACATTTTCCCACCGTTGTTAGCTCATTCACCAAAAATGCTAACGTTATGCTTCGGACTTGAGGACCGGTTACAGTCTGTGACGATTAGCAAGATTTGTTTGCTAAGCCATTGTAGCTAGCTACATGCTAGTGATTGTAACATTTGTACACATTTGTTCTTCCTTCCGCGTGCTTTGTTTTTGGATCGCCGAGTTTTTCTATATTTGGATTTAGAGGCCCTTAGTTGATAGATTTTATCCCTTAACATCGTCTTAGTTGCCTTACACTCAACATACACACTCCAATTCAAGTCAATTCTCTTGACTGTACTTGTTGTCATTTTCCAAAGTCAACCAGAAGTCCTGGATGACGCGCAAGCATTTGGCATTTTCATTGGCGCGAGATGGAATCCATCCGGCAGATTCCTGAAAATGTCAAATGCAAATTGAAGGCTTCGTCGTTCACAGGCACCCCAGAAAGCTCTTAGCCCGGGCGAGCCGCGGCATCATCTGCTCCGCCGCGAGGACCTCTTCAGATCTCATTTGTGGAAGCCGGTGACATTCCGTGAACCTCCTCGCGTCCTCCTCCTCTTCACCTTCCATTTGACAGTTTACACTACCGAGCCCCGACGCCCCTCCGCGTACACCCCGACGGCGTTTTAATCAAAACGAAATAAGACAAGCCGGTAGGCCGCATCCTATCCTTTCGTTTTAATGAAGATAAAAAAAAATACCGCAGTGAACAATTTTTCAAAGGAAAACGTCAATATTTCTCAAATTCTTTTGACCGACCGGCAGATGTTCCCTGCGAGCATCCGAGCCAGCGACCGGGTGCGTTTCAACACCGCGGCAAGCCGACTCCCGACTGTATGAAATGAAACGGGACTGGCCGTGTAATTGCTTCTGCGGGGACCGCACCGGTTTCAGTGATACACTTTGTGATTGGGTGTGTGCCGCCGCTGCCCTCGCAGTCGTGGCAGAATAAACAAAAAAAAAAGGGAAAAGAAGCTCTTCTGGTCCGTAGCCTTGCGCGCGACAACACCTCAGGGAGACAGGCGGCCATATGTGGCCTCTGCCGGCTGTGACTGCGCACACGTTAAGAGTTCGCTCTCGACTATCCACACCTTCCTGTCAGAGGCTGCTGCCGGGATAACAAAACAGGCATGATAGGATGTGACAGCTGGTGCCGGGTCAATTGTTGCACACCTCCGGTTGAGCATGAGAAGTCTTCCTCTTCTCCAGAATTCCCCTGTGGTGTCTTATCCTGAAGCACACATGACCAAAAAAAATAAAAATAAAATAAATCATCTGATCATTTTAAAGGAGACGTCATATGTTTGCTTCGCAGCTAGCCTAAGAGTGTAAAACTTAGTGGTCGATTTTAAAACATGAAAACAACAAAACGGTCCATTTCCAATGTGATTAGCAATCATATTATTCATAAAGAGCACAGGTGTCAAGATCAAGGTCTGGGGGCCAGGTACCTGCGACTTCATTTTATGTGGCCTATGGTCTATGATGGTTATGTGTTCATTTAATGTCCACACCGTGTTATAATCCAAGGCCTAGTTATCATAATTTATTTTCTTGTTTTCTATTATTTGAGTCAGTGGAAGTCTGCAGTGTGAAACAGAAGAGGCCCCGGGGCGGAGCCTTGGTGTACTCCACATGTAATTTTGGTCTGCTCGGAATGAAAGTGATTTAGTGCCACCAAATATTCAAAAACGGTGACCTTTTCAGAATAGCAACATAACGAAAGATCTTGTTTATTTTATGTCACATTTTGCGGGTCAAAAAATAGCCAATAGGTTCTTGGTTCGTACTTCCAGCTGTTTATTTGCAAGTATCATCTTCCCAGTATGTGATACATCCCCATATGCCCATGAGAGAACCCGGAATGCCATTTTCTAGTGTTGTGCTTGATGAACTCATTGTTATTCATTCACCCGCCACTGTTGCGAGTCACCACAAACCCAATTGGATCACCATAGAGGGCTTCCTGTGCTCCTGGAAGCTATGTTTTCTTAAAACATTCCCTTTTTTTTTTCCTATCCACCTCCTGCAATATTGGGGTTTGACAAGTAATTATGACTGCTCGGATAATAATTAATGAGGCAACATGTTGTTATTATGATCTCCCTTCTCCGCATAAGTAACACCTGCAGGCGCCATCACATCCAAAAGTAATTCAATTCTTTGAGCAAATGACATCATATTTCAACTGGCATCAAATTAAAACTCCACCCCCAATGACATGTTGCATCGCGACAGCAATTTAAATGGAGATAAAAACCAACATTACAGTCATAAGGCCTTATTTAACAGTCACTTCACATTTGACAGCGGCATGCATTTGGATCCCCCCACCCGTAGCCGCTGGGTGTTTTCGCTGACTGATACGCATCCCGGCAGGATTTCGTCCTGTCAAGACACAAGTCAGTCGAACGGCACTCCTGTTAAATTGTTCTCGTCTTGGGCGCGCAGCCTTGATAATTGACAAGCCGCAAATTAGCTGCGTCCCGGGCTATCAACTGTCAGCCCACCTCCCCGTACCCGGGCTGTCTATCTTCTGTAAAGATTGCACCTACTACTTCGTTATTCGATCGGGAGGACACAGCAAAAACTGGAGTGAAACCACAAATGGGCTGTCTTGGGTTTTGCCACACGGGCTGGAATTTCGTAGATGCAATTTAGCCTTCGATTGAATGATTATATATTGTACGTAAGTTACCAAACTGTCTTGGGCAGCGATTCCTTTGCGTCACACTTTTTGAGAATCATTGAGTTTGATCATTTTTTGCTGTTCCCTGAACTAATCAAAATTGAAGTTAATGCTTTCATGGTTTTCTGCTAAAGTGATTCAAAGCGAAATGGCATCCGAAACCTGCATTTAGTCCGATTTATCGTTGCTTTGACGCACGCAAGTTCAGGTGTATCAACATTTCATAAAAGCGCAACTTGTATCTGTATCGTGAGTGTGGGAGTGTTATCAGAGAGAGCAACGTGACAAACGTCGGCGCCGAGTGGAGAAGCGTTAGCCGCGGATTGATGAGCCGGGCTGTTTTGATGGATGGAGCTTCAGCGCTCGGCTATCAGCCTTTCTGTCATCGTCTGAGCGGCATCATATCAGCGCACACAAAACGCGTCGATACGTGCCGTACTCTCATTTCATTTACGCAACACCAGTCGTGTTCACTGACGAGATAAAATACGACCCAGCCCAAAAAAAAAACCCAGTGGCCACGATTGTATCTCCACAGATATGACTGATGATAGATGTGCTTCGCCCAAAATGCTAACATTGAGAATGAAACGAGAGCTGTTCGACGCACAAAACCATAGACGTACTCACAGGCATGTATTCTTTATCCTCCTTCAAGAATGACTAACATGACTGAGGCTTAATAAGATCCACCAGTTTGTCCTTAAGTGACGTGCGTTTCGTTTTAAGATACCATCCGAGATCAACATGCCACACACTGAGTACCACTAGAGGGAGCCTGGAATACACCTTCCGAAATAAATCCATAAATATCAATGGTCTTCATCTGGTCTCTGCTTCGCCGTCCCCCGATGCCTGGCCTGCTTTTCACCCCCTTCTTCATGTTTTTGAAATCAAATGTGGCATATTCATGATCAACTCATACATTATTTCCTTGGCAAGCACGGCGACGGATGGGCTCGTGCGCCTGCCTCACAATTCTGTGCCCTGTGATTGGCTCGTGACCAGTCCATCGGCCGACTCAAAGACCTCGTCCCATCTGC